AGCTTCTCAGAGCGCCAGTTTCCCTCTGTACACGCCGCAGCATGGCATGGGAACGGACAGCCTCAGGGGCCTCTCCTGCTCTGACAGCCTGTGGTTCTGTGAATCACCATCCAGGAACACTGGCACACGTGGGAAGAGCCTGCCAGGATGGGGCCTTTCATGCCGAGTAATGAACTGTGACTGCAAAGGCTTGACACCTGTGCCGATCGTTCAGGGGAAGTTGGACAAAATAATGCTTTCTCGTCCTGCCCTGCCCCCCCCCCACCCGAAGTCGTAATCAACAGAAAAATGGAGTTTCTCCTGCCTGAACCCAAAATAACGTGGAGAACTCCCACCTTCCCCCAAAGCTCCAGGAGCACACCCATCACCGTTGGCCTGCCTGAGGCTGAGTAGCCATCTGGCCGCTGGAGAAGGGAGGGCTGCGGACACCACCCCTGCCCCTGCACACAGCCTCTTACAGCCGAGAGTGGCGAGGCTGGAGGGGAGAGGCTGGGGGAGGAAATGTGACCCGGGCCCTGTGGTCAGTGCCCTTGCCAACCCCAACATTGCTTGTGGCAGAACCAGCATTGAGTGCAAACGCTTAGCTCCGCCAGCCACCCCCTGTCTCCTGCAAAAGCCCATGGAAGACTGGTCACCACAGAGCTCGCCGTTATTCACCAAGAGACCTCTCCAAATGCGCCTGAACAAAGTTAACAACCCCAGCGTCAGAGCCAGGAACCAAACCCGCAGCCGTCGGGCACACTAGAACTGTAGCCTGACAGAGTGGGACTGCCCCTGGGTTTGCTTGACAGGGTCTTTACAGGAGCAGAGCCCCTGGCTCTCTATTCGGGGCACGGCCGGGCGGGTTTGAAGTACCTACTTTCAGATGAGCAGTCAAGAACAAACTGTTTGTACCTCTGAAAAGAGCTTCCCAGAGCAATGTACTTTGACGGGATGATGTAGACCTGTGGTGAACAGTCCATCATGTAACCCCTATGGCGTCAGGTCTCCTTAGTGCCCAGGAGGTCCCATAAAATGATGAGTGGATGAAAAGATAGGTAGATGGTAGGTAAGGAGGTAGTTAGGTAGATAGATAAACTCACCACCATTGAATCAATACTGATTCATAGCGACCCTCTTGTGGGTTTCAAAGACTGTTTAAGGGAATAGAAAGCCCAATGTTTCTCCCTTGGAGCTGCTGGTGGTTTTGAACTGCTGACCATGCAAATCACAGTCCAATGAGCAACCACTACACCACCAGAGATAGGTAGGTAGGTAGGTAGGTAGGTAGGTAGGTAGGTAGGTAGGTAGGTAGATAGATAGATAGATAGATAGATAGATAGATAGATGATTGATTAGATAGATAGATAGACAGATAGGTGGATGGGTGGGTGGTTGGAAGATAAATAGATAGATAGGATGGGTGGGTGGGTGGAAGATAGATAGATAGATAGATAGATAGATAGATAGATAGATAGATAGATAGATAGATAGATTCTGCTGGGCCAAGCTCATGTGAGGCTGCCTAAAACCTATTAGGAGTAGGTCTCTAAGGAAAAGCTGCTCTTGGAGGAAAGCCCCCCCCCCCTTAGCAGAAGGCTCTTTATGCCCCACCTCCCTTTCTGCCCTGCCTAATGCGAGGAACGGAAGAAATAACACAGTTCACACTCGGAGGAGTGAGGGCGTAGTTCGACTGAACTCCAGAGGGGCAGCCCCTCACAGAGGAACGCTGTTACTTAACAAATGTTATGGAGACTGACGAGAGCATGGTGGGGGGCTTAGAAATGGGGGACAGGAGCCGTGAGCCAGCCCATCAGCCCCAGCCCCACTGTGCCGAGACTCATGGAGAAACAGATCGCAAAGGCTCATGGCTATGAGACACAGCAGGCTTTGGGGGAGTCCAGAAAGGCATGGGATTAGGGAGGGCTCCGTGGAAAAGGTAGCGGAGGGCAAAGGACTGTGGGAGCCAGTAAGAGTTGGACAGTGGGGCAAGGGCATTCTGAGCAGGGGTCTGGCTGTGAGCATAGCATGGGGAGGGCCGTGACAAAGGAACCTGGTGACAGCAGGTCCTGCAGGAGGGCAGGGGGGCAAGGGTGAGGGGTTTCAGAGTTTTACATTAAAAACTCAGACCCAAGAACTAGAACTGTAAGGAGGCCCTTGAAGTGAGGACGGCATAAGACGTAACAGGAGCATGTCCAACCTCATGCATCACCACCCCCCATTG